CTCAACACGGACTGAAAAGGGATCGAATAGCAGCAGAACGCTGGCCGTCTCTTTCATTTACGCACAAGCTACGGTACCTTACAATAAATTTTGGGGAGCAATTGTCCAGGCTCGCCGTAGTAGCGTCTTATTTGCGGTCGCTCATCAGTTGATCTGCAAACCTGTAGAATTTTCCGGACGAAAATGTCGTTTAATTGAAAACATCTTTCCATTGCTTATCACTACATGCAAACGCTCATTTCCGGTAGTAATTTGCAGTGACTGCCTAACTGCTCTCGGCCTCCCATTCCCAAGCGCATCTCCCTTTTTACTTCTCGCTCTAATCACGCATTCTTATCTATTCCGCGCTGAAGCCCCTCGTCTTTTCATGCCAGCCTTGCCAAAAAATCCGCCCCTTCTATGGCATAATCGATTTTTCGTCTGCTCTGTCCGGTGTTCGGCTCTTGATTAGTGATTAAAACCAATGTATTGAAGGGAGCACGTGTGGAGTGGTGCTCGACGAGTGGGCGTGACTTAACGACTTCGCCTGTGCCTGACCGCTACGGCCGCGGCAGCACGCGATTAACGGTGTGGAAGCCGTCGTTCGACATGTTTACTCTGTTTATTCTTCTGCTGTTTTTACCGGACTCGCTTGATACTCACCCATTACAAAAGGATTCGGATTCTTCGACGAGAAGGTGGGCCTACTTAGTCTTGTCGTATTAGTATTGTTTCGGTAAAATTTTGGGATGTTGTTTGTATTCTATCGTAGTAGTGATGACTGTGATCGCGACTATTACGATTTCATGTATTTTTAACCTCATATCGGTCAAGCTTCTCCTATGCAGGTGATACCCCTTTAATTGGGCGAATATCTAATCTTTATCTTCTGTAACATGAAATGGTTGGGTTCATGGCACAATTGAAGCCCAGGAATTACACATAGTATGCTTGATCATACATATGGCATACTTGATTGTTATCCCATTATGTTTTCCTCAGGTGAAATCATTTCATTCCGAAGATTTCTGTTGCCACTGTGCGTTTACCTTCAGAAGAAGCTTACGGTTGGAGATATCCTTTGCTTCGTCTTCATATTCTAATCCAAATTTTCCTCTTCATGCCATGTGCTCCTTTCCCCCTTCCCAGTTCTCGCTTGACCTCAACGAGCTGCCGCCAAGATCCCTTTTCCTTCTACACACTTCAATGCAGTCGCTTCCATTTGTTAATTACAACACCTTGTGGACTAGATGCGTATGCTTATAAAGGGTGTTGTACAGTGGAGGAGGTAGTTACGATCGTGAAACCTCAATAAATTGGTGATCCACATTAGACTGGTGGCTTCACGTTTCACCCTAGCCTGGTTCCTAGTTTTGTTGACGAATGACTTTTACTGCCACTACCTCCAAGCGATTCAACGCTTCGTGTAATGGCGAAAATGTACTTGGTGGGTGCTAATCAACGGGTACACGGTGTCTGCATAAATATTGTAACACCCATGGGATCATCAGTTTCATGTGTTTCTTTATCCCAGCTCCGTTATGTCCTCTGATAGTGAAGGGCAAGCGAAAATCAGACGGGCACCTACGGACCAATAGTTCTGCGGACAAACACAGCTAGTAAGTGGTTCACGTAATGGAGGGATTCATTTCTGTTGAGATCTTGGATCCTCACTACCCTTACTCATCCCATGTCTCGGAGTGTTACTTTACTATACCTTCTTGATAAAGGTAAGCCTGTTGAGGGCGTTCATTACTTACCTGCCTCGCCAGACAGTAGGTCTCTTTTGATTTTGGTGGATTTTGAGTTCTGATTTAATTGCATGTTTTGGTTCGCGTGCTATCACATTAATTTCAAGAAGCACATGTAATGGACACCTTTTTGAAACGATTTCGAAGTGTATCATGAAGAGACTTATATTTCTTGTAGTGATTACAGTAATCTACGAGTTGGTGTTCGATTCCCGAAGTTCAGTTATGTCGCATTTGTTCATGAAACTTCTGTGAAATTGATTCGAGTTTATACATTAAAGCAAATTCATGCTGTTTAAAGCTGAGCTATTTGAATTGCTTTTCCAGTAGATAATAGTCTAGTGTATGTACTACTAATCGATGTCGATTGTTCCTCGCTCTGTACTGGCACGACTCCATCTAAATAGGAAACTGTAAGAGCGGACGCAGCGCACGTGACCTTAACGATCATTTACTGCGGTTTTGTCCTCGGCAATGCAGTGTTCACCGGTTTCCTTTGCATAACCTTCAGCAAGAATTGAGCATTTGCCAAACAGCACGTTTCGTAATTACACGTCAGAAATTGCTCAAAGAATGATCACTCTGTACCGGAACCCTAAAGAATTTGATAACTATGTCTGTCAATCGGCTAAGGAAAAGTTCGTCATACTTGGAAAGAACTCTTTCATTAGTGCAAAGTTTGGAAAGATCATTGTTCTTTCGCTGTTACGGGGAAGTCCTCTGGTGAAATAAGACTTTTGAGGAACGAATGTTCTTGAATGAGGAAGCGCGGTAACGATCCATCCTCCAGCCTCTTTCACAGACTTCCTCTTCCTTACCTTGGCAGCGGCCTTTTCCACAAGTGCGCACATTTCACCTTTTGGAGTGACTATACGTTATTGAGCGCGTACGTAAATAGCCGGTAATGTTATCTCGATTACGATGGCTTTTTAGTTTGCGACAAGGCGAAATAGCTCTTATTTCTGTTAGCTATTCTTCAGAGTTCCTGATGCAGGCGATTAGGGTGGAAAGAAACGGATTCGTGTCGATTGAGCGACAACGCGACTAGGCTACCAAGCGATTGCTCTTTGAACGGAACGAGGCAAATCAACTTGTTTGCAATCTCACACACCTGCTCCCTTGGCTAGCACCCATTCATTAATCGAACCGCATTCTTTCTATCTAATCTTCTAATCGCCTGCTCCCATGTGCGGACTTGATGAACCTTGCCTTCGCGGTCAATTTCTGCTTAGCTTATCTTATCAACACAGTGGGAATTTTGTGAAAACAAAAACATTACCATATGCATACATATATGTATGCCGACCTATACATTTGTACTTAGAAACGACAAATCAACTCAAAGGTCCAGGTGATTGAATGGTACACCATCCCTTGAGGTGCTTTTTACGCAAAAAAAATCTCAGGCTATCACTTCGGCTATATATTGAATGCATAACAATTTTTAGAGGAAGAAATCCCACTGATCTCCTATGTTTCAGCCTAAGATGCTTGTTGTAAGTCTTGAAGGCGTTCCCGTCAGTTTTCTCAACTAGTCTCTTTTGGGTTGTTTCTTCCAAGGAAGCATAGTGCTTGCAGAAGATTCTAGCGATCGAGTTCTCTTTAGGCAACCTAAGATATATTTCTCCGAAGTTGGCTCATTGTTCCTAGATCTGTTTGCGGAGTCGAAAACACTCACGTTAACATTTTGGGCTAGCCTTTTTTTAAGCAATTTTGTGTAGGCCAACGCTGAGCTGAGGGATATTTCTAACGCCAAACATCCATTTTATCTTCACTTCTAAAATGTATTCATGAATCGACTTGTCGTTAATTTCAGGAGCGAAAACCTTTTGCTAACAACAGCTTCAGTGAATGATCCAGTGAGCGCGTTATTGGGCGACTTTAATGATGTCGCCACATTGACCGTGAGTTAGATTCTCTCTTTTCTTTTTTCCTTCTACTTATATTTTTCTTGTGCTTTTTATCGTTATTGCTCTATTCCCTATCGCGGATAGATCATGTATTTCGTTCATCCCAAATATGGCTTAATTTTTCGGATGCATCCTTGTCACAGCATTGCAACGTCTGAATTCCTTTGAATTCAATACAACGGCTAGATGAAACCACCGACGAGCAAAACGCTTGTTTTAGATCTTCCAAACCAGACTGCTGCCATTTGACCCAACACTGAAGATATGGATTTGTGTTTATCGTGATGATTCTCGTTTCGCGTAATAGGAGTGCTTGATAGCTATAGCGCGAAGGTGATGCAGTGGAATTACGCTATCATAGACACGATGTGGGGGAGAAATCTCTAAAGGGATCTTGCCGCAGATTTTCTCCAGGGTTGGGTCATTGTGATGACTGTTTGGGAAGATCCTAATACACCTTCTGCGTCGGTGGTTTCATCTAGCCGTTGTATTGAGTTCAAAGGAATCGTGCAATGGAAATCTTTTTATTTTTGCCCATTCAAGGTGCGTTGTGTAGTGGTTATTGAACGCAGAGTGGCTCCTACATATTGAACTTTCGAAAGGGCAGCTCTCAGAAAAGCTCTCCTCTTGGACAGCTGCTGGTAAAAGGGGCGAGCTAAAGGGTTTCTGGAACGAAGTATGTTTTTATCCGGCAAAATCTGTAAAATAGACCTAATATACAAGTGACAACACTTCTGAAAAAAAACTCAATAATTAAATTAGTGTTTATATTGAGCCCTCATTAAAGCTGATAAATGGTGCTTGTAACTATTGACAATTAGTAGAGTACAACATCAATCGGGTAGTCATTATGTTGATAGAACACTATCACCTCTTGTGGAGTGTGTTGTTTCGTTTGTAGTATAGGCACCTGACTACGGGCAAGGAGTGTGTGGTCGGTGCGGCCACGTGTAAAGTTTGGAAATTTTCAATTCGAGACCTTGTATATGTTTCTGCGTTCAACGCATTTGCACATTTCAAATACATACCATCAACATCTGTGATAGTTCAGAAAAAGATTTCCCTGAATTTTTGGATTTTTTATCAATGAACGCTATTTTTCTGTCTTCATATTGTCTTCGTGGAGCAGTTGCTTTAATCGGGATTTTTGGTGAAGATGGAGTGCCATGGTTTCCGTGCACGGTATATTTCTCCAAAGCCGTGATCTGAACAGAAGTAGAACATGTGCGGCGTTCTAAGAAAAGGTTGATCAACGTCAAATGCTTCATCCTTCTATTTTATATACTTTATTCAGCTCGAAGAAGCTATGTCTTTCCCCTTTAGGTTTCTGAATTTCTTTCAACATCCTTTTTCGGAGAGAGTTCCCATAATTTTTCAAGCATGATCAGATATCAAGAGCTATCTATAGAGTAATATTGATTGACTCACACTTTGACACTTTGTGCGAGAAGTGCGCTATATTATAGAAACAAAGTGTAGATGTAATAAGTGAATGGTAGAAAAAACACAATGGCTCTTTAGTAATTTTGCTTCTTACAGTAATACTTATTAAGCATTGCACACTGAGAGGAGATTGTATGAAAGGAACGAGCAAAACGTGAGATTGGCAAGGGAAGTAATCCGTTCCGGCATATTATTTCCTTATCATAGGTTCAGCCCACTTTTGTGCAATTTATCTAGTCGGCAAACCGCTCATTTTATAGCGGTCGTCGTAAACCACCCACTTATTTTCCCATCCACAGGTCGAGATCGCTCTTTCAAGTGGCTCTTCCCTAGTTGAAGAATGCATTCAACGCTGATTTCATTTTTATGCCATTGTTCGTGCGTTCAAGTTTATTTTTAGTCTCTAATTCTCTATTACTTCCCGAATATGACGAAGCATAGCCTGAGCACACAGAACGATCTTCAATCTATGCGGATAGTTCAATCTATGCGGATAGATTCGAGCTATGACGGGGGCGCTAGGCGTCATTAAATCTGATATTAGTTTCCGAGATTCTGCGCCAAGGAATGACGAGTGGAGCGCCTTTGAATCTATTACTAGCACTAACAGAACGATGTGAGGCGCAGCTCTGGGGAAATCTTTTAAAGGCGCAGCTCTGAGGATAATCTTTTAAACCCGGCTGTGAATAGTTCGCGACTTATTTGAGACATAGGAATTGGAGACTTCTTGCATCCATTAAACTGGGCCTAAGATCTTGAGCCCATGAGCAAAAGCTTCAACTGCACTGTACAGTAGTTATAAGTTATGAGGAGGCTGACAAGGAATGGTCAATTGGTTAGTCCGGCCTTTTGTAATGAGGTGTAGTCCGATGCACGCGTCTTGCGACGCTGAGCTCAAATCCGTTTTCGGTTTTTGCCGAACGATTCTCTGAACGAAGTTACGAGGGATTCTTTCACTGTGGCTATCTCACTGTGGCGCCCTCTACATCCCCCCCCCCCCGACATTGTTGAAGTCGTTTCGGGAGAAAGAGTCTGCTCACCATCTCCCGTTGTTATGGATATGGTACGTTGTGGTAGTGCATATGTGTACCACCTGGAGGCAAAAGGGTAGAGACCTTTTATTAAATACACAGTTCTGAATCTTACTCATGCGTAGGTTTTTGCTTTGTGATCATTTGTGCTTTGTGATACTTTGTGAAGCAACATAAGGATCCAAAGTATATATTCAATGCATGTTAGGTCTTATTAAACGAGTATATATAGAAACGCGTGCTGTTCAAGAAAGCTTCATATCTACTGAAAAGGTAGCAAACATTGCTGATATTCTGTCATGATCTTTTTAGAAGGCAACAAACATGCTTGGGTAAGCAAGCTTGTTCTCAGTACCTGCCGAGCTTTTATGATGCAAACGATTCGGTTTTGGCTGTGTAGTAGTACCGAATTCTTCTCTTTTCTATGGCAGTGAATGATGAATTATCTAGGAAATTGACATGATGTTGTTTGAAATTTCCTGTGCGTTCAGTCATTCTGTCTCACGTAGGCAGTATTGTTTCACTGGACGGGCTGTTCTCAGAGTTTTTTTCTTGTCTTAGGGCTTGGTGTGGTCGAGTTTTGTGTTCTTTTCGTTGCTGAATTCTTTGAACATTGCTCTCGGTTCTCTCGTCTTTCGCGGCATGACAATTATCAGTGTGCGAGCCGAGCGCGTGGTTAGTCTTCGATCTCGGCCTGCATTGCCAGAGTGAACTCGCAACCACTGCGACGTATCGAAGCACACGCACGTAGCATCTGCATCGTTC